ACATCATGTTCACACAGCGCACACAACGCCTCTGCACTTCCGATTTCTCCCAATATGGGGACAGGAGACTAAATGGGAAAACAAAGTCACTGGCGTTACTTTTTTGAAAAAGTAACTCTGATATTTTCTTGTAAATTAAAAAGTAATGCGTTACTTTACTAGTTACTTGAAAAAAGTAATCTGATTACATAACTCGCATTACTTGTAATGCGTTACCCCCAACACTGATCACTACCACCATAGTATTTTTATAATAAGCAAAATGTAGTGTAAACAAAAGTAAATGTCTGAGTTTCAAAATGATCAGCACTAGCTCACCATTGTCATAATATTTTACAGTTAAAAGTTGAATTTGCAATGAGAATTAGGGGAGGGAAATGGGATTTAATTGTAAAGAAAGTAATTCAAATAATTTTTGTCTATATTAAAGTAGCACATATTTCACTAAAACTGGCTGGTTGCAGCTCTAAATACAGTTCATTAGACACAAAGTCATGCTCTCCACTCATGAAAGCCGCTGTCTCTGTGACATTCTCTAACTTCCAGAGGGTCTTGGTGAAGCATGGGACGTTTAGTGAGGAAACAAGCACACAAACGTCCCCGTTACAGGCCTCCAAGCTCTATGTGATCAACCCTTTTGACAAGGTCAAACACGCTGGATATCTGCAGTTAGCACTGCCAAGGAACGCGACATGTCATCAAGTGTTTGCCTAATCCGCGTTTGAATTGCATCATAGCAACACACAAACACAACCCCACAAGTCCTGACCTCCGTCTTCACTGGAGCCCATAACTATGGAAATATTCGGATGTGGATTGCATCCCACCGGCTGATTGCCAAAGTTACTGCTCAGATATAAATAGACGTTTTTTGACTCAAAGGAGCAAATTCTCGAAGCACTTCAAGACAGCGTGTCTATTTTAGCATTGCCGTTGCTTTCTGCTGGATTCCCTTAGTAAATCGTGTGTTAAAACCCCTTAACTGTCACTCACATTTTTGAACATAGACGTGAAAGTGCATGATCCAAACTTAAATTTTTATAATTCATGAACGAAAACATTTTGTAACATGATATTGATGTACAATTTTCATGGTAATGCAATGTTTGATTTTAAAATGGGTTTCAAAGGATGCATTT